TATTATTTCTACTATATACTACTGTAGTATTTATTAATATTTTGGATTAGCTTTTATTTTATAAAATGTCGAATTGGCTTTTATTTTTGTGTTTTCTGTTTTCATTTTAATTTTGGATGAACTTTGTTGAATTTTGTTGAATTTTTAGTTTTAGTAATTTTATGTGCTTTTGTCATTTAATTTTTATTTCTATATAGCTTCAAAACTTCCGTTTTAGATTTAGTAATGTTAGTAATTTTATCTTCAACTTATTTTATTTCAGTTAATTGTCAAGGCTACATTTCCAAGTTTCTTTTAAGTTTTTCATCTAATATTTAAGTATTATTTCTGTATAATATTTTATTTCAGCCTTATTTCAGTTAACAAAAAGTTTTATTTAACAATAACACCACATGCAACGTTTCAAAGGTTTATTCCCCCCCAAGTTTTGCCTCTAAATTAATCCTTTTTGAAACAGTCATCAAAGCTCTTCTTTTGTGTACATTCACCAACTTAAAAAATTACTAGTGCTTGTCAAATCATCTGCACTTACCGACATTCCTGTTATTATGCATAATCTGTGAGGTCTATGATTAGTTTTGTGTAATATCATGTTAATTAGCCTTTTTATTCATTGAATATCTCTCAGGGCTGTGTTTATTGTTAAGAAACTGTAAACAAGCATAATGATGCAGCAGTAGTTGACTAGTCTTTCAGACAAGTTAATTTTGAACATCTCTAGTTGTTACACTTCTGTCTTTATTTCTTCACATGTAATATCCTGAGGGTTGGTTGGCGTTATACTGGTTAAAATGCTGGTATCTACCTCACTGTGTGATCTTTAGGCCGTCTTAAGTCATATGACTGTTGGTGAACTGTACCCAGAATGCACTGCGAGAGCTGCATGATTGTCCCTAGCATGCTCGCCGGTGTGCACGCAATAACGCCGCCGCTTTCTGCATTCCTGTGTGTCTGACGTGTCTCTCTCGGCACTGCCATCTGTCTTTAAGCTGGCCATCGCCGAACCGACGCTTCTGGAGCATCAGCGCGTGGGCGGGGCCAACTCAACATGGGCGTGGCCAGTGGAACCCTGGGCGGAGTCTTGGAGGAAGCGCTTACGCGATTCACCGCGATGCAGAGACAGACCGAGGAGCGCTTTCGTGTGTGGATGGACAGACTGGCCCACATGCATTCGGATGATGACCTTTCGTCCAGTGAAAATCCGGAGGGGCGGAGCAACGTTAGCTCATTCCTGCCGTCATCGGAGTCGCAGGAAACGCTGGCGGCCTATCAGACGGCTCGAGTCAGCGCCATCACGGTTCCACCGCCTCAGACTGCCGGTGTCAATGGAAGCGCAGAGCCGTCTGAACCGAACGTTTAAAGAACGTTGACGCAGCACTACTGTGCCGACTCAATTCGACCGCTGAAGTGGAGGCTTCGGACAATGCACAAACCTTCTCTTTATCTCTAATTAAATTCATCTTCATTCTGGCTTCCTCATCTCTCTCTCTATTAAAGGATCAGCTTACCTACAAATGAAACATTTACTCATCCTCATGCCTTTCCGAATCCATTTGGCTTTCTTGCATCCCAACACAAAATGTGAAATTGAGGAATATTGTGGCAATTCGATGAACGTGAACAAGAAACTGAGGCTTTCAAGCTCCAGACAGTGTTACTTTAGTATCATACTATACTATTATCATTCTATTCTACTATATGATACTATTATAGTTTTTATGCATATTTGGAATCAGGTTTTATTTTTATACTTCCTGTTTTTTTTTTATAGTTTTGTTATATAATATTATAAGTAATACACATAAATAATATGATTTTAAATGTTATTAATTTTTTTTGTTTTAGTTATTTTAATACATCACGTTAAACAAAATTAAAATGAGAAATTTCTATTTCAGTTAACTTTAATTTTAGTTTTACTTTTAGCTATTGTTTTGTTTTTGTCATTCTTTTTTTTTTATGTATATAGATATAGATAGATAATCTTAGCACATCAATTGAGCAAAAGTAAAATTAGAAATCTTGCCTTGGTAACTAGATGAAATAAAGTTTTTTTTAATATTGTAATTTTATAAAAAAAAAAATATATATATTTTACTTAACAAAAATATTATGGTTTTAGTTAACTATAATAATAACTGGCTCTGGTTTAATTGAATTACGACTTCAATTTTGTTTTTTTCTTCACATAAAACTATTGCATGACTTCAGAAAATGTTGATTTTAGCACACAAGTTGTATGGATTTTTTTTTTTGGGGGGAGGTTGACTGACCATGTCGCCATTGTAAAAAAAATAAATAAATACAAAATAATAGCCAGGATATACTTAAGTAAATTCAATGTTGTCAAAGGCATATGGGTTTGGAATGACTTGAGGGTGAGTTAATAATGACAGAAATCTTTCTTTTTTTTTTTTTTTTGGTAAACCATTTCTTTAACTTCATCTGTCTTTCTTCTATTAACATTTTCCGTTGTTTTATATTGGCATCTCAGGGCCGCCCTCCACACTCAGTGCCTTTGCGATCTCATTTCTTTGGGAGAGCCAATTTCTTCCACTCACCTGGATTATTTTAAAGAATCATTTGTCTTGCCTGTAGAATAATAACTCCTTCATGATGTTATTTCCACGAGACTTCTGAAGTTTCGCCTCGACTGCCATGTGTCTTTTTCTCTTCATCTAGGCCGGCATGTCTACCAAAGAACTCTTCTTTGCATTGTGGATTGTTTAGTTTGTTATTGAATCGCTTCTTCCAAAGCGGAATATGCATGATATAAGCTGACAATAGAGAGCTGTAATGTAATGACAGCCTGTAAATTGGTTTTTATTATAAATACTAACCTACAACACACAAACGAACATCAAACACTAATAGAAACATGCAATAAACGGGGGATTCTACTACTATTTCTACTGGACACAATGTCTAAAGCAAGAGATATTGATCACTTTTTTTGTCTATATCTATTTAAGGGTAATTTCCATAAAAACATGTCAGTCATATTTTGCCCCAAAGTTAATGTTTACATAAAGACAATGAAGCCTATATTTAGAAATATTAAGTTTTAATGCATTTTGAAATTAATGACAGTTGTGCACATTAATTACTGTAATGCATTGTAATGAGTTGGCGCTTCTCATTATATTGTGGTTTCTGAAATATCCTATAATACAATAATTTTTTAATTTAAAAAAATCTGCAAATTAAAAGCAGCACAACAAATACTGATATATAAATAGTTGACTTTGAATATTCTAATATTTGAAAAACAATTCATGTTACTGCAATGAGAGAATTTGTATTTATTTAATTTTTTTCACCAAAGTCTTCTCAGTTGTCAATGTCACAATTTCAAAATTATGGGTATAAGTAGACTTAATTTTATTGCAAAATAATTACATGTCATTTCTTTTTGGTTTTAGGGTGAAATATGAGCTGGCCATATTTCATGAGATTCGCCCATCATGTGCTTCCTCCACACTAACACAAACACTCATAGTCAAGGTTTACTGTAGTTACTGACTTGCAGGAGGACTTGAAAGCTGTTTGCTGTACTGCTTTACTGTATAGAGCGTCTGAAGGAGATTGTTTACATTTTTATTTCTTTTTGTGTAATAATATCCAGGCTGCCTAAGTTTAGTGTCATAATGTTTTAGATGGAGGACAGAATTCCTTCCTTATAATTGTTAGAAACCAAGAAATGAGTAACCAGAGATAGATGTCTTTTTATTTGTTCTAAAAATGTTTTCTTTATTTTTAATGTCCTATACTACTGCCTAACCAAACGTAAAAGTGTGCCAGGCGACATTCATTTGTGTTTTCATGTCTATGTAACACATTATTGATGTGTGTTATCTGCTCTGTCGTTAGCTGGTAAATAAATATACTAGTATTTTACCAGCATTCATCTGTTTGACCTGACTTTCATAGCCTTATTATCCAGGTAGCTTGCATTTAATGTCCATGTAGGGCTATAATATTGTAAAAAAAAAAAAAATGTTTTTGTTTACTAAATTCATTCAAGTCTTTTGGTAAAAGAAATTGACCCATTTACTTTAATAAAACGTCCTCCTGGTCTTATAGGGAACAATTTGTCAGTGCACATTATTTAATAAAAGCCCCTTCAAACATACAGAAGACACTCAAATCAATTTTCAATGGATAAAAAAAAAGTTCTGACAATTTTTTGTTGAATATTGTCTTGCAAAATATGTTGCATTACGGAATAAAATGGAATTGTGATCAGTTTTTCAGTAAAAAAAAATGTGTATATATATATATATATATATATATACATTTTATAAATAAATATTCACTCAAAAATTGAGGTGCATAAGCTCAGATCAAGGAGGTCTATGATCAGTCATTGCAAAAACGAAATACAAGCCAGTGCTAATTGAAAAAAAGATTGATTAAAAAGAATGAATTAAATATTTGTAACAATGTAACATAACGAGGAACTATATTTGGTAATTTTTGACTGAACACCACAAATGTAACAAGGTGGGGGAAAAAATCCCCCAAATCTTCCATTTTGGGGGGGGAGTTGTTGTACCCTGTGTGAGGAAAGTCAGTAAGTTTTAGTCCAGTGTAAAAACATTAACATTAAAGGGATAGCTCACCAAAAATTAAAATTCAGTCGTCATTTACTCACACTCGAGCTGTTTCCAAACATGCATGAGTTTCTTTCTTCTGTTGATCACGAAAGAAGATATTTTGAAGAGTGTTGGTAATCAAACAGTTGACGGTAGTCATTGACTTCCATAGGATGGAAAAAATACTATGGAAGTCAATGGCTACCGTCAACATTCTTCAAAATATTTTCTTTTGTGTTCAGCATGAGGATTAAAGCTTTATAGTCTGCTAACATTCAGTGTTTCACTTTGATCTTTAATCCAGCATTTGGAAAGATAAATAGATTTTCAAAAGAAACTAATTAGGAGAAATACAGATATGGTGGCGAATCTTCTGAACGGTGTGTGTGTGTGTGTGTGTTGCAGTGGGTCCTGCAGTGATTGGACACTATGATATTTCAGACACTCACTCCGAACAGGAACAGCAGTCTCAGTCGCTCTCAGGTTCGTTTCTACTGTTACTCTTTGCAAATCCAGTCGGGCCGCAGCACACCACCTCCATTGGCACTACAACCAATCATGTTTTGTCATTTAAACACTGCGTTTGAGAATTGCGATGCAGCCATTTCCTTACTGACTTGCCTCACATTTACTGTGAGATGAATAATGTTGGCCTCAACTACAGTACACACTTTTGTATTAAATAGTGGAATCCAGAGAGTATGTCGTCGGGCACTGTCTGATCTCTGTTTGGACATTTGTGTTTTGATTTTGTGTATGTGTTTTGTTCCTGTTGTGTTGCATCAGTTATTTCATTCTGAGGATGGCGGTGAATGTTGAAACGATTTTTTATTTTTTTTGTAACTGTTGCTGAATGAAGTATTTTGTGTTTCTGTAGGTGCAGTAGAAGTCCAGCCATCTCAGGTGAGTCTGGCGTCCACCGACAGTGAAGTGGAGATCGTTGGAGTTCAAGAGAACGCCAGGTGAACTGATCCTTATCATTCAGCAGTCATTTAGTAGTATTCATATGCCAATTAGGTAAGCAATAACATGCACATCATATTTTGGTCCTAAACAATAATTTGCCGAATTGTAAATTGGTTGTTTAACTACATTTAAACAATAGAATTGCCATTTATCATGACCTCGTAGTAATTGTGAAACTACACAGAATTTGGACTATTAAAAAATCATCAGTCAGTCATACCATAGGACTATTTTTTTAGATGCAAAAACAAATAAGTGATTAAAAAGTAAATGACTGGTTGCAGCACCTATATATGTATATATAACACTTTATATGCAAGAAAACAAAACTAGCTCATTTAATTGATTCGAGCCATTTGTATGTGCACATTTAACATTCTTTTTATTCTATTTAACCCTTCCAAAGTCATTTTTAATATAAGTGGATTTCAGTTTAAATTAAATTTTAGTTTTTAGTAGTTTACAATAGGGATCAATTCATTAGCATTTCTTAATGCATTGGGTATCATGAACTGACAATGAAAATTCTACAGCATTTACGGGGATATCGCCGGTCTTAAAAAGTATTAATTCACAAATAAAGGCCTTTGAAGCAGAAAGTCTTCCATTCATAAAGTCTTTGCATCAAATGTTGCGTGCACTGCAAAAAAATTAATATCTTACTCATTATTTTTTTTCTTGTTTTCCAATAAAATGTCTAAACATCCTTAAATCAAGATACACTTGAGACACAAGAAATCTCGGTTTCTGAGAAATTGAACAAAATTGAGTTTATGCTTAAACACAAAACAAAACAAAAATCCAATGGGCTCAGAAAAATCAACTTAATTCAAAGGGAAAACAAGTTTTCACACATGTTCTTCTTTCAAGCATAAAGTCGCTTAATTTTGTTCAATTTCTCAGAAAACAAGACTTCATATCTTCATTTTGTATCTCAAGTAAATGTATCTTAATTTAAGGATGTTTATATATGTGACCCTGGAGCACAAAAGCAGTCTTAAGTCGCTGGGGTATATTTGTAGCAATAGCCAAAAAAAACATTGTATGGATCAAAATTATCGATTTTTCTTTTATTAAAAAAATTGACCCTTATGACTTTTGTGGTCCAGGGTCACATATTTGAACTGGAAAATAAGGTAAAAATACTGAGTAAGATATTCTTTTTTTGCAATGTATGCAACATTTGATGCAATGATTTATGACTTTCTAGGCCTTGATTTGTGGAAGGATGAATTAAGGTGTTTTTAAGACCAGCAGAAACCCTGTGTGTTTATTTTTTCAAGTTACTTTGAATGATGTACTTTTTCCGACAGTTGTAATGTTTTTGTAATGTTATTTTCAGCGTGGTCTCAAGGTTTCCTCGCGGTGGAGTGATCCAGTCGCTTTCTTCCTGGAAGCAGCGAGCTCCGGCTCAGTGGACGTCCGTCTCGGCGCAGTCCGGCTGGGTTCCTCCTCCTGAGGTGGTGGATCTGACACTGGATGAAGACCGGCACAGATACCTGCTGTGATCAAACACACTCACACATACACACTCATATACATGTGACTGGTGGGCCGAGTGACTCAAACCATAACCACGAGACTGTTGAAACTAAGAACACAGAACGATGCTTTCATTAAATGAAAAACACTTCTGATACCCTTTGATATGCCTGATTAATTATTTGCTACTGTGAGACCACAATGTGAGTAAATGACAGCAGATTTTATCGGAGCAAATACTGTACCAAGTTCTCCCGTGATAAAGTCAGGTATCAAAACTACTGGTCTGAAATACTCACACTCTTAAAAACTAAAATGGGGCTTCTTTATAGAAATGAATACTGAATGTAAACGGGTGAATCTCACAAAAACTGGCCATATTTCACTCCAAAATTTATATTTAGCCGAAAACAAGCAAGACCGTTTTTAGTGCAATTAAAATTTTTGAATTGACATTTATTATTGTCATTTTTAAAAATACTGTAATTTGATGAAATATTTAAAATGTTGTCCAATACACTACCGGTCAAAAGTTTGGGATCAGAACGATTTTTTATGTTTTTTACAGGAGTTTCTTCTGCTCATCAAGGCTGCATTTATTTAATCAAAAATACAGGAAAAATGTAATATTGTGAAATATTATTATGATGTAAAATAACGTTTTTCTATTTTAATATACATTAAAATGTAATTTATTTCTGTGATCAAAGCTGAATTTTCAGCATCATTACTCCAGTCTTCAGTGTCACATGATCTTCAGAAATCATTCTAATATGCTGATTTATTATCAGTGCTGGAAACTGTTTTGCTGCTTAATGTTTTTTTGGAACCTGTGATACTTTTTTCAGGATTCTTTGATGAATAAAAAGTTAAAAAGAAGAGCATTTATTTAAAATAGAAATCTTTTCTAACAATATACACTTCGGTTCAAAAGTTTGGGGTCAGTACATTTTTATTCTGTCTTTTTTTTTTAAAGAAATTTAAACTTTTATTCAGCAAGGATGCGTTAAATTGTTAAGAAGTGATAGCAAAGATTGATATTGTTAGAAAAGATTTATATTTTGAATAAATGCTGTTCTTTTTAACTTTTTATTCATCAAAGAATCCTGAAAAAAGTATCGCAGTTTCCAAAAAAACATTGATAATTCTAATAATAAATCAGCATATTAGAATGATTTCTGAAGATCATGTGACACTGAAGACTGGAGTAATGATGCTGAAAATACAGCTGCGCATCACAGAAATAAATTAAGTAATGGCTGATGGATATTCAGCTTTGCATCACAGAAATAAATTAGATTTTAAAGGCTATTAAAATAGAAACCATTATTTTATAGTGTAATAACATTTTGCAAGATTACTGTTTTTTTTCTATATTTTTGATCAAATAAATGCAGCCTTGATGAGCATAAGAGTCTTACTTAAAAGTCTTACTGATCCCAAACTTTTGACCGGTAGTGTATATTTTATTATTTTTATTATAATTATTATTAAAATAATTTTATCCTCATCTATGTTTTTTCTGTTATCCAGTAAATCACTATGAATGAAATCAGAATAATTATTGAGAATAATGAATTGCAGTCAATTCAAAAGAAAACATGAATGCACTATGGTAATGAGAAATTTGGGGGTTAAAGTGTTTATGAAAATTAAGCAAATGTCCATTTTAAGGCATTTTCGTGAGATTCAGCCAAAAAAGCATCATCATTAATCAAACCTCAGTCATTTCATAATGGCAAATCAGGGATGTTTTACTTTGTCAGATCCTCAGATTTCAACGTCTTCTCTTCTTTTGAGTCACTTCGCCCCCCTGAAGAAACAGCCACACTTACATGATCCTGCTGTCGGCCTCAGGAGTCGCTTGCTGAACCGCCCCAGCCCCCTGTTTTGGTGATGTAACTTCCTGTTAAGCTGCTGAAGAGCTGTTAGCCGAGACCGAAACGCAAACCTGCTGGTCTTACTCTCAGCGGAGCGAGCGGCCCACTGCTCTGCGTGTGTGTGTGTTCACTGTCAATCATCTGATGCTGCTCTGCTGTGTGGGGAAGAAGCCTTGGAGTGTGTGTTCCTCACCCGATACTGCTTTCACAATACGTTTGTGTGCATGCGAGTGTGTGTGTGTCCTGAGCATTTGTGTTTTTCAGAGCATGTTCATTACGTACATCTTGCATTGTCATAGAAACGGGCCCTTGCTTTTATTATGCCAATGGAACTTCTTATTCAAATACACTAATGGTCAAAAGTTTGGAATCATTACGATTTTTGGAATGTTTTTGAAAGAAGTCTCTTCTGCTAATCAAGGCTGCTTTTATTTGATGAAAAATACAGTAAAAACAGTAATATTGTGAAATATTACCATTTCAAATGAGTGTTTTCTATGTAAACATATTGTAAAATGTAATTTATTTCTGTGATCAAAGCTGAATTTTCAGCATCATTACTCCAGTCTTCAGTGTCACATGATCTTCAGAAATCATTCTAATATGCTGATTTGCTGCTTAAGAAACATTTCTAATTATTATTAATGTCGAAAACCATTTTTGCTGTGTAATAATTTTGTAGGAACAGTGATACACTACCATTCAAATGTTTGGGGTAAGGAGAAGAAATTAATACTTTTATTCGGCAAGGATGTAATAAATGGATTAAAAGTGACTGTAAAGACACAAAAATTTCCACAAAAATAATAAGCAGCACAACTGTTTTCAACATTGCTGATAATCAGAAATGTTTCTTGAGCAGCAAATCAGCATATTAGAATGATTTCTGAAGATCATGTGACACTGAAGACTGGAGTAATGATGCTGAAAATTCAGCTTTGCATCACAGCAATCAATTATATTTCAAAATATATTCAAATAGAAAACAGCTATTTTAAATAGTAATAATATTTCACAATATTACGGTTTATACTGTATTTTTAATCCAAATAATGCAGCCTTGGTGAACAGAAGAGACTTCTTTAAAAAAATACTAATAATACCAAACTTTTGAACTGTAGTGAATCATCTTGTGAATACAATCAATGTGTGATGAGAAAAATTTTTTATTTTTATTTTCTAAATGGGGTCTCATTTGCATATAGACTTTTAAGCAGTTTAACCACAACTTTGTTTTATATACATGTTTCTGTGGTTGCATCATGCTATCCCACACACCACTGAAGCTATTTATTGATATTTGCTGTGTTTTACTTGATGTTACATATATGAATCATTTGTTCGAAGAGCAATATGAATATGCATCTTGAAAACTGCATATTAAAGGAATAGTTCATCCAGTAAATGAAAACTGTCATCATTTATTCACCATTGTGTCTTTTCAAACCCATATGACTTTTTCTGCTTTGAAACACACAAGATGATTATGAAAGAATATTCATGCTGATTTTTTTTTCCGTTAAGCTGCATAAAAGTGGTCCATATGTAGCACAAAAGTCATTTTGGACTAGTTTTATGGTGCTTTATTATCATTTATGGAGATTGAAAGTCACTATGCTTTTGTTATATGGAAAAGAGCAGCATGAACATTCTTCAAAACATCTCCTTTGGTGTTTCTCAGAAAGAAAAGTCATACAGGTTTATAATTATATTAAGGTGACTAAATAATGACAACATATTCATTTTTGGGCACACTGTACCTTTAAGTTTGAGTCTTGGCAATATATTCTGTCTGTATAACATCAGATGTAGAGAAAGGTTTCTGAGTTCCTTTTTTTTTTTTCTTCTTCACGACTGTCAATTGTCAGACCACTGTGTGTGAGGAGCACTCACTACTTGAATGTGAATTATTCTGCTTCATTCAGCTTGTGTATCACCTTCGAACCCTGCAGGACATTTCAGAAGCAGGTTTTGAAGCTGTGCCGGTGGCCATTTTGGCTCCCTTAGCCCCGCCTTAAACTGTGACCCGCCCCTCTAATAAGAGTTTGATTGGACCTTTACCTCTGTCAATCACAGGAGGTGAATGAAGGCTTTGTCGAAAAAGGGAAAAGCTCCAAAGTTCCAAAGCAGGAAAATAGAGAGTAGTAGAGAAATTTAAAGGGATAGTTCACCTGAAAATTAAAAATGATCATCTTTTATTAGCTCTCATGTCATCTGAGATTTTTATGTAAAAATGGCAATATGATGTTTGGCAGAATGTTTATGCTGCTCTTTTCTCTACAATGTAAGTGACACATTAAATGTGCACTGTAAAAAAAAAAAAAAAAGTTTTTTTTTTTGTTGTACTAAATAATGTTTTACAAGAAAATACTATTTCAGTCTTTCTACTTTAAAATGTCATGTTTAATTCAATGCTACTTCCTGTTTCTTTGTAATTATTTGTGAAATTTACTAACAATTTCTGAGTTAAAATTGTTTCCGTGCGTGTTTTTTCCAGTGTAGTATTCTGAAGCCATATGATAGCTTTGTGTGTGAAAAATGACCATAAAGCTCCATAAAAATAGTTCGCATGACTTTGTTTCTCTCATTTACACTGGAAAAAAGTTAGTAGTTTTCACTCAGAAATTGCTAGTAAATTTCACAAATAATTGCAAAGAGCAACAGCAAGTAGCATTGAAATAAACAACATTCTGAAGTAGAAACACTGAAATATAATTTTCTTGTAAAACTTACTCCAATAATCTTTATTTACAACTTTGATAAATAATTTTGACAGTGTAGCTTCATTGTTTAGAAGAGCTGCACAGACATTCTGCAAAACAATTTACTTTTTGTTTGAACTGTTCCTTTAAGATGCTTCCCTCTGTCAAACACACAAGCAATTTCCATTCTCAAACTTTCAGACTTTGTCTTCTTTGCCCTCAATACTGAAGGCAGTTGCTGGATCCCAGCTGCTGTCTCATGTTCAGGCTGCTTTTATGAAGGAAAGGAAGTCCTTTCAGAGTTAAAAGTGGGCACATCTGTCACTAGTGACTGTTGACACTAGCATACGCAGGATGTGTCATATCTGCTCTTCCTGTGTTAGCAAAGAGCACAGAGACAGTCCTGCACCCTCCAGGATGAAAGAGATGCATTTGAAGCTGATAATCATCATTTACTCGGCCTCATGTTCTAAACCTGTACGACTGACTTCCTTCAGTGGAGCACAGAAGATGTTTAACCTCTTAAAGGGATAGTTCACCCCAAAATGAAAATTCTGTCATTAATTACTCACCCTCATGTCGTTCCAAACCCGTAAGACATCCGTTCATCTTCGGAACACAAATTTAAATATTTATGATGGAATCTGAGAGCTCTCTGACCCTCCCATAGACAGCAACACAACTGAAATGTTCCCAAGTCCAGAGACGCAACTATAACGACATGTGAATAATCCCGCCCACTATAAAGCGGTACTGAACTGCAGTGGAAACGCAAACCGTGCCGAGCCGAGCCGTGCCATACCGAGCCGAGTCGAGTCGTACCACGGAGTGGAAAAGTGCCATAAGTGCTCCAAAGTTTGGCTACATTTGCAATTAGA